CTCTGCCAGGCGATCTGAGATTCCAGGGCTTGGGAGTCTGCCTGGGAGAAGTGACACCAGGACGTGGAGGTCCCTCCGGGGTGAGGGGTGCCCGGAGCAGGGGGTCTCTCTGGACTGAGTGATACCAGAGCTTGGGGGTCCCTCCGGGGTGAGGGATGCCAGGCTATGGGGCGTCTCTCCGCAGCGGGTGATGCCAGCACTTGGGGGTCTCTGGAGTGAGGGACACCTGGGCTTGGCGCAGGGGGGTCCCCGGGGGGGTACCCCCAGCCCCGCTGCCCCCAACCCTACCCAGGGGGGGCCCGGCTCGGGGCACCGCAGCCCCTGCTTGGGCACACTGATGTCCCCCGTCTCCCCCAGCCCAACCGCTCGCAGCGCAGGCACCGGTGTTGCCATCAGCACAAAAACGCTGCTTTTTTTAAAGTATGACTGTGCTGCTTTTTTTCCTCAATAGCCACCCATTGCAAATGAGTCCTCTGTAGTTGTTGTTGTTTTTAGGCTGGAGATTTACTTTGGTTGTGAAAATACTTTTTTTTCCGAAGACGTTATTTAACCCAAAGTGTTGCATCACTCTTAAGTAAAATGATTTTTTTTTTTTTTAGTGTTTGCTTTGGATTAATAACCCAGCGCTTGCATTCCTCCGAGCGCTTACATGTCTTTTGTAACCATCAGAAGTTCTACTCGCAGCAGCGAATCACTCCGTGGCCGTCCAGGCTCCTTGTCCAGACTTCACTGAAGTCCATGAAACGGCTCGTAGGCATTTCTCTGGATGCCAGATCAGTTCCCAGGACTGATTAGGTTTCAGAGCAGAGAATGTGAAGGAATTTTTTAATATTTGAGAATTTCAAGTTCCTTTTAAGTAGATATATTTCCAGCAATGGAGGACCAGTTTATAGAAGTCTGTTATTAGAGTTATGGCTACACCTTTAAAGCATAATTAATCCATTAAAAAAAGTAATTGTGAAGCGCTGAATAATAGATCAAGGACAAAGCGGATTCAAAAAGTAGAAATAGATTAGAACCAGAAAATGTTACTTTATTAACTATTGCAGGGCATTTCTGCTTAAACCACTTTGATGCATTTTTGGTTCTGATGAATGGGCGAATCTCCGACGAGAGCTGACGTAGGTGTTCCCGTCCCCATCCTCTGAGACTGAAAGGTGCTTTTCCTTTGAGTTTAAGGACCTGATTTAAACCTTCCTCACTTCGGTGGTGGTTCATGTGCTGACTTCAGTTGGCTTTGGAGCCAGCGTTTCAGCTGGGACTTTCTCCTCGAGCTGAATTTTCCACAAAACTGTGTTTAAATGGGGTGCTGGAGAGGAACGTGCTTGTTGTGTCCTGTGAAGATTAGGAGTAGCAGCATGAATTACACACTGGAGATGAGGTGTGGGCAGAGCGTTTGGGTGGAATATTTTCAAAACTTGTCCTACATTTTTGGAAGGGGAGCCTTAAATATTCTGCCAGATGTATATGTGTGTGTGTGAGTTTTAAAAAGAAATTGTTCCGCGTGGTGTTTTCGATACCCTCGATGGTGGGGACGTACTCAGACCTGTTCCGCAGCGGAGTGGTGCTTCACTCCAGGACCAGCCCCACGGAGATGGATGGGGTTTGGGACACAGCTGAGCTAAGGAGGGGGTCAGGAGCTGCCCAGGGAGGAACAGCAGAGCCTGTGACCCCAGCCGAGCAGGGGGCAGCCAAAATCACTGGACCTGCAGGGTTTTTTGTGACTAAGGCGAAATTAGACTATCAGAGGGCTATTTTTTTTAATGTTTTTTTTTTTAAGAGAGAGGTTAGAAAGTAAACCTTATGTACCTGGCAGGCTGTAGTGGTAGTTTTATGTACGTATTAGTCTGAGAAGTAAATACTCTGTGTGCTTGGGCTCACCCATAGTACAGAGCTGTCTGCTCGTTAAAAATGTGTTTAGTAGCAGTACTAGACGTTGGGGTTACGCACACTATTTAATGGCTTGACCCTAATGCAACAGCTTTTGCCTAAATTACTGGCTGATCTATAGATATGTATTTTGATCTGGCTTCTGCTGGTGGAACCAGTGTAATGTTTACCCAGCAGAGTACCGTTTAATGGCATTTATCATGTAAATCCCAAGGTAAGATCTGTAAGCTTTCTCCCCTCAAGCAAATGTTTATTCCGATATGGAGTCTTCCCCAGAGCTGTTATCATCTTTATGTACATTTTTACAAGCTGCCTGTTTATGTACTGCTGACCAATGCCTTTGGTCTATCACCCCTGCTGTCAGACGTTGAAAGAGAAGTGAGTTAACTAAGCTTACCTCCGAGGTGTAATCATAACCTTAAACTAAGGGAATTTCTCGTCAGAGAAAGGAGAGTGGTTTTTGCATTAAATTCATATAGTAGAAAGTCTGATAAGCTTTTGGTTAAAAAATAGGCAAAAGATGTGCAGTAACCTGTTTCCAAACCCTAACATGTCAACTGCTCTTCATGGTTTCTGGCTTTTAAAACATATCCAACAGTTTGTATTTTGGTTTGTGCTTATGTAAGCCAAAAAATGTATTGGGTAAGTGGCTGAATATTTTTCCCCCTTGCAGGGGAAATGCTACCGCAGTGGCAATTTCTTGGGTGTGGACACTTCAGCACAGCATTTTCTATTACGCATTTAAGACGTCTCTTAATTACATGTAATTCTAGGTAACAACCACATAATCTCTATTTAAATTTCTATTTCAGCTACGTCCACTTGGACTTCTCTAATAAAATTGCCATGCAGTCTTATATTTGCAAAGACACTCAACCGTAAGATATTAGCATAAGAAACTAGAAGGAATAGTTACTTAAAAACCTTTAAATTTAAAACCTTAAAATTTAATTTCCTATCTTAGCTTTTCCATAGGACAGTATTCCTGACTGTTTGGTGAACTTGGTCCTTGCACCTGCTCACTCAGGCTCCGATCTGGGAAAGCCGAGCGGGATGTGCCACGGTCCATCAGCGCTCAGAAGCTGGGACTGTAAATCACTGACAGTCCTGGACTCGGCCCTGAGCAGCTCCGTATGTGGTCGTGGCTTTAAACGCCCCGGGCTCAGCTCTGAAACATGCCAGGAGCCCGTATGTTCGGATCCCTGGGAGATACCAGTATTGCGAATCAGCCTTAAATCTTAAATCAGCCTTAATGAGCCATGATAACTCGTGGGGTGTCAGAGGCAGCTCCTGAGCACCTGATCTATCCTATTTCTGGGATATATTTCATATTAATGTTGTTTGCCTCACGCTGTATCGCACTCCAGGCCTGCGACCGAGACCAGCAGTGCGGAGGAGGGATGTGCTGCGCGGTCAGCCTCTGGATCCGCAGCCTGCGAATGTGCACGCCGATGGGAAATTTGGGAGAGGAGTGCCATCCCTTGAGTCACCGAGTGAGTACGTCACCGGGGGGGCTGTGGGACCGGAGCTGGCAGGGCAGAAAGAAACAGGACTATACTGCGCTGTACGTCACATTGCATAAAAACTAGACGTGGTGAAAAGGCGGGGAAGCATCCCGTGCGTTACAATACCCAGGGATTTGCATCTGTATGGAAATAGCGCCGAGGTGCCTACGTAAGGAAATACATAACTGTCAGAATTATGCTGAAGGGAATCTGAAGATGAAGGTAATACACGCTTTTCAGTTTGCTTTATTGTTAGTTTGTTGTTTTGCTTCATTACATTATCCAAAAGAGCCACAGCAGTTATCACAGAATCACAGAATGGTCGGGGTTGGAAGGGACCTCTGTGGGTCACCCAGTCCAACCCCCTGCCCAAGCAGGGTCACCCAGAGCAGGCTGCACAG